TTCAGTTATAACAAAAATCCGCTAAGAAATAGTAAAATCCTCTAGCAAATAAAAATAGACAACTATATAGATAAGAAAAGTTCTTCTAATCTTAGAAAAATCTCGCATACATCAGTAAAATCCATAAGGAACATCCTTTAGTTATAAGAAAAATCCGCTAAGAAATAGAAAAATCCTGATAAAGATAAAAATGGGTACCTATCATAAAGCGACGAATACAGTATTTGATTTAATAGAGATACAGAACGCGTACTTTTTGATAAGTTACTAAGATCCTTCTATTTGCTGAAGGACATTTGGTAAAATGGACATTTTATGGATGTTTGACAGCCCTCAATGGGTCATAGTTAAAAGAATATAATCGAAGTTTTAGAAATTCAGCAGAACTGTATTTCTCTATATTATAAAATGACACATGAGAAATTCCACTGAAACTACTATTTAATCCTGGTATATAAATATATTCTTCTGAATATAAAGTTTCTCTTTCGAAATAAATTAAACTTATCTCCTAGGTGCAACAACGGATTCCACTTCGACATTATCTTCATTATTCGATGCTATAAAACGTCAATTATGGACAGATTTTATTGATAATTCATTGTTACCATATTATTCCATAATTCCATCAGTATTATCAACATCAGTTGTTAATCATTTATCTACTTCATCAATTCAAACATCAACATGGCTTATTCAATCATTATTTGATACATATTTAACAAGTGAATTTCTTAATTCTGAACAATCACGTGCATTATATATTTGTTCAAAATATGTTCCATTAAATTTCATAATTATTCGTTTATTAACAAATACAAATACATCTGATGGAATTTATGAAACAGGTCGTGCACTTTATTTTATATTTGGTTTAATTTTATGTCGAAGACGTTCCTCAACACGTTGTTTATTAGAACAAGCTTTACCTTATTTATTTAATTTAAAATCTAATGAATTTATGCTTGAACCAAATGTTTATAGTACAAGTTTAATTATGATTATACTTTTGACACTTGAATTCAATCAAAATAATGATCAATTAGAAGATTTATTTCATGTTAAATCATGGAAAGAATTCAATTCAATCAATAAAATTATACTAAAATATGAAGATACAAGTGTTACTGATGCTTATCATTCATTATTGAATCAAACATCTGAAGAACTTTTTTCAAATGAAACACTTAAACCTGTGAATTATTTTTTTGGTTGGTTTCAAACAATTCTTTGGATGTTCAGTCGACAAGTTAAATTATTAAAACCATTTGTTAAACCAAAATTAGTAAGATAAATATATATATAATTCTTTCTTTATATCAGCTTCGTTTTTCATTTAAAATAGATTACTCAATTATCGGAATATTTACCATTACAATTTCCAATTGAAAAAGTTCTTAGTATATTAGAATTATCAAATAATATGGAACTTGAATATGCTTCAATGGTAATAACACGTGATTTTAATCGTTTACAAACATTACATAGACGAACAACGACAACATTTATACATAACGAACAGATTGTGATAAATGATATAGATTTAATAATTACAGCAGCAAAAAATATAACAAAAAATATTTATTCAATACCAACAGATCTTTAAATATATTTCCAATAAAAGAAATCCAGTGTAAATTGTTTTCATGTAAAATTTTATGTAAATTTATTTGAGCAACTTAGATAAAATTAACTCTCGATTTTTATATTCATTGTTTATTAAATAAACGTATCGTTATTATTGTATATTTCGTACGGAAAATATTTTGTTCTTGTATAATTTTATTGTTTTTTACTGAATGAACTCTGAAATGAGATAAAAATGGGATTCCAGAATTTCGCCAGTGTCATTATGTGATTACACTATATTGAAGTTAGAGTTGACGAAAACTCACAGTACTTACGGCAAGTAACGCCTGAAATTTGGCGAAGAGGCACTAAGCCATAAAAATAGCCTGAAGCATTTGCTGCTTCGAAGATTATTTATAGGATTAGAAAAGTAAAGCTCATAAAAATATGGAATGATCATTTGATCGGATTTTATTCTTATATTATGTATCTGTAAAATTTTTAATTATTTGAATACAAAAAAATATATTTTATTAATGATTTCTAAGACAAGAAATACGTACCTAGATATTATCTATGCAAATCTTGTAAGTTTAATGCTTAATTTAATTTAGTATTTTAAATTTGGGTTGTTTATTAATTATTCATTTTAGTAAAGATGATTTTTCTTAAAATTCATAATGTGATTCTTTTGTTCTTTTCTTCAATAGAAATCTGTGTTCATTTTCCTAACACATATTATCATGTTAAGAGAAAAAGAAAAGGGATGAACGCACATCCTTACCTTTTTCATGACAAGAAGAAAAAGAACAATTCTATGGTAACGTCATCATCGTCTTAATTTCCTTCTTTTTTTTCCTAAGAACTAATCTAAGCAACAAAAATTGCGCATTCGACTAGTGATAATGACGGAAAGCGAAGTACAACAAACAAACACGCCAAACAGCAAAATAAAGGTTATATTCAAAGATTCATTTATTTTCCTTCATATAATTTGTATTTTTCTTGTATAGAAATTTCGAAAACGTATATTTCATCCTATAACAAAAAAGAATAAAGATGAACAACAAACAAGTCTTTTACAAGAAAAAAAGAACAAAACTGAGAAACCTATTCGAAATGAAGATTATGAAGCGTAAATTTGAAAACTATTTATTTTGTTTTCATTATATAAAAAACTAAAAATAATATTTTTACAATTCTTAGAACTGGTTTCGTTATTGATCCACAAGATCATCTCTATCAATATTGGCTTGGAATTATTTCACTTGCTATCTCGTATAATTTTCTTTTAATACCAGCTCGTTATGCATTTACTGAACTTGATAAAAACTATCGATATATTTGGATTTCATTAGATTATATATCTGATTTTATTTATTTAATCGATATTTTTCTACAATCGAGAACAGGTAAGAAAAAAAAGAAAATGAGTTCTTAATTTGTATAAATTTTTTTCCAGGTTATTTTAGTCATGGTCTTTTTGTTCGTAATCATCATGTATTACAACGTAATTATTTTTTATCACGACAATTTTTTGCATATGATCTTCTATCTATCATACCAACGGATTTTTTATATTTCATTCCGAGCTTTCGTTTCGTTTCAATTATTCGTTCGAATAGATTTATAAGAGTTAATCGACTTTCACAATTTCAAGAATTAACAGAATCACGTACGAGATTTCCCAATGCATTTCGAATTGGCGTACTTAGTTGTTTAACATTAACATTGATTCATTGGTAAGATCTTTTCTTTTCCAAATAAAGAATCTTTTTTGTTTCTTGTTAGGAATTGTTGTGCTTATTTTCTTATTTGTGAACATTTGGGTTTTGGCAGTGATGAATGGGTATTACCAGCTTCGGCTCATAATGAAACAGTTGCAATGCTTTATACTTATTGTTTTTATTGGTCAACACTTTTATTAAGTACAATCGGAGATGTTCCATTACCTGTTACAAGATCAGAATATCTATTTGTATTGTTTGATTATATGATTGGTATGTACATATACAGAATATATAACAAAAAAGATTAGTCTTCAGATTTCATAGTAATTTTAGTCAGATAATATTTCATTACACGTTATTTAAAACCCCTGATAGAAAAAATACTGAAACCTTTAAAAATTGAATATAATGATTATTAATATTGAATGAATTTATGTTGTATTCAATAGTTATGAGTTCAGAGTATATTTTAATGATACCTTATTTATACTATGTGTAATATATAAATGCACAATTAAATATTATACATCTTCAGAGAAAATATTTATTTACTAAGAAATACGAGGGTGTGGGTATTAATTAAAGCTCACACCCTTACAATTTTAGAAATAAAGAAAATATTATTTATATATAGGTATACTTATATTTGCCACTATTATTGGTAATCTTGGTACAATGATATCAACTCAAAATCAATCGCGTATAAAAAAAATATATTACAGAATATTTTTGTATATATTTTTTTCTCTCTATAGGACAGCAAGTTCGTGAAAAAATGGATGAAATAAAACGTTATATGAAATTTCGTTCAGTTAATCGAAAACTTGAATCAAAAGTTATAAAATGGCTTGATTATTTATATATGAATCGACAAGTATTAAATGAAGAAATGGTTTTAAATTCTGATTTAAGTATTGAATTACGTAAAGATCTTGCTATTAAAGTACATTTAGATTCATTACAACAAGTTAAATTATTTAATGATTGTGAACCAAATTTACTTGTTGAACTTGTAAAAAATAAAATTAATTTTTTGTAAAATAATTAATTGATGATTTCTTTATTTTAGGTAACAAAATTAAAACCAACATTTTTTGGTCCAGGAGATTATGTTTGTCGAAAAGGTGATATTGGAAAAGAAATGTATATTATTAAACGTGGACAATTAGGTGTGGTTAGTGATGATGGAAAAACAACATTTGTTGTACTTAAAGAAGGTGCTGTATTTGGTGAAATATCAATATTAAATATTCCAGGTAAATTTTTATTCGAAAGAAACAGAAAAATATATATATCATTTTTTTAAGGTTCAAAAAATGGTTCTCGTCGTACAGCTAATGTAAAATCTTTAGGTTATTCTGATTTATATACATTACAAAAAGATGATTTATGGCTTGTACTTGATAATTATCCTGAGTCATTAGCAAAAATAATTGAAAAAGGTAAATCAATATTACGTAAAGATAATCTTCTTGATGAAACATTAACCGATAAAAAACGACATATTGAACAAGATCAATTATTAAGTGTACAAAATCGTATTAAAAAATTAAATGATATTGATCAATCATTAAATGATCGTGTCACAAAATTTCTAAATACATATGTTGATTCTGTTAGATTATTTAAACAACAATTATCAAAATTAGAATATCATTATGGAGCAAGAAAACCAAGTATATCAATAACATCGAGTGTTCCATCATCAACACCATCACTCCCATTTTTTGCTAATCAATGGAAACAACAAAGTGCAAGTAATATACTTAAATATCGAAGTTCATCATTTTTAGATGTTGATTAATGATAAAAACTCTAATATTTCGATGTTGTGTCTTTTTTTTCTTCATTGTTGTCAAATATTCTTTTGTTTAATAAAATTTATCTAATATGTGTAATGATCTATTGGTAAAGGTGTAATAGCATCTCAGATAGAGATTTTCTGTTGAATTCTTATATAAAAACTTGAGAAGAATGAATTATGCTTATAGCTTTATGATATCAAAATTAAGAAAAACTTGTGAAGTGAGAATGAGGTTGATGAGTTTCAAATGGATCGTTCTATTTCGGAACCCTCATCTGAGAGTTATAACTCAAATTTAAACATTTTGAAATTATTTTCACAATTATGCGGTGATAACAACTATCAAGATTATACTTGTATATTCATTCGCCATTGAACAAGATAAATATATATTGAAGAAAAAATCTTAATGTAATATTTCTTATCAAGAATTATTTTATTTGTTTTAATAGATTAAGTACTATTCGATTGAAAAAAAAGTATTTGTCTAAAAAGTATTTTTGTCACGAAAGTAAACATCTTTGTTTGAGTTATAGATGAACGTGATAAGTACTTTGATATACGCCATCTGTAATTTCTGGTTTGTGATTCGTCAATCATGATACTCAACGTACGATGAGTAGTACTATGAAAAATAAACAAAATTCCATTCTGTTCATTGTTATAGAACTAATCTTAAAATATATCAACATATGAATAAATCAGTAGTCATTAGATTTTATTACTTTATCGAATCATAGTATCTTAAAGATGATATCGAATCATGGAACATTCAATCTTAGGACAAAGAATTGACTTAAAGTAAACATTAACTACTAATTAGCAATAGTTTTAGATTCCATTCTCTATTCTTTCTAACTAAAAATTTACCACTACAATAGAATGAATAATTGTAATTTATATTATTTTAGATATTTTGTAATTTTATTTTTCTTTAATTGAAAAATGCTCAAATCACATTTTACATCAACAGTAAACACACGACCAGATGGTGAACTTTGTAGAAATGCTTGTGGTTTTTATGGAAATAAAATATGGGATGGATTTTGTAGTAAATGTTATCGAGAAGTTTATCAACAAGCCAAACAAATACAAGAAGCATATGATGGAATAGTAAAGTAAGAAGATTTATGAGTTTAGACTTTTTTTTCCTGACATGATTTATAAGAATAATCAATTGTTAAATACCTATTCAAAGCTAAACTATAAGAAAGAAAGATACGGATGAAAACACACAATAAATGATCGAGAACATATTATATTAAAAGAAATTATTTGTCTTTCGTAAATAAAACTTGACAGTTAAAATGTATCTATCAAAATGATCGCAAATTGTTATCCTAACATAAATAGATTTTGTTTTTTATGATTATACATGTCATAATTTTAGTACATCAACATCTGATTCTACTCCACCATCATCTCCAATATCTTCAAATTCCAATGAAAAACGTCGGTCAAATATTAGTATGCGGAATCCAATTCGACAAATGGTTCATCGAGCTGGTAGTCTTCGATGTATGTTAAGAAAATATTTACTTTTTTTTCCTCTTCAAAAATTCTACCGTTTTTTT